AAAAAAAAGATTATGTTTTACTGCGTGTTATATAATGATTATTATTGAGATCAAGAAATTGCACAGGGGTCAAGAGGTCCACAAGCACACTTGAATGGTCTGTAAAGTCAGTATGCAGGCTACTCATGCACAGGCCATAATGTAACGTTTCTTTGTGGCCATCTCTCTCACGTAAAACCATTTTTAAAATGAATGAAACACAGTAGCCTACACAGTCTACATTGTAACTTTTATTCAACTTTTTGCACCAATAAGTTCATTAAGTTCATTTAAATGATCATTTCTGCTGTGCTAATCAATCCTGTTTTCATAGCATGGAAGTAAACATGTACAATGGATGTTTATTTCAGCCATGCAAATGCAAAGAATGTCTGTAATTTATATCAGTGCATTTAACCATTTACCACAGTTTTGATGTTCAGGGAAGTATATTATCTGTACCATCTGCTGCTGTTACCATAAGTTACTATTTGCACATATATTCAGGAGTATGGTTGTAAAACATTTTTCATTTCATATTTTTTTTACATGAATGTTTTAAAGTATGAAACACTTTTGCTGATACTTTCTTTTGTACCCACCTGCCTGGAGCGTGGAAATATTACACTACAACGCACCAACTAAGTGTCTGTTAGACAAATTATAGATTGACAGGAATGATTATTGCTCTGTGGAGTGTGGAGCTGTCTGTTTAAGTGCCTGGAACCAACTAAAATCAGCAACGTTACTGTTTTACTTGAAAGCTTCAGTTATTAATGCTGTGACTATTATTTCTATCGTGCTGTGTTTAGATTTTCATTCTAGTGGATGTCTAATGTGGTTGCCAGTGTGCCTGTGTCCCCGGACATGGTAAAGCATTATAAGGTTGAGACTCTTATAGTAACTAATGGCTTCCTGTCATTGCCTGTGTTCAGGGTTATCATTAAAACCAGTGAAACCAGTGCTCCTGTAATTGTGCAATGTATGGGGCACAAAGATTTAGCAAAAACTGATAATATATTCATATATAATATAATGATTTGTATAATATTAACTTGGTGTTCCATTCATTAGGACATTTTGTGATTTATTTACTTTATGTTACTTGCCAGACATTTGCTTTTAAATTAAAGCTCTTTTACCTTGCTATGCTAAATTAACCGTTCAACCTAATCTCCTAAATCATTTCACATTTAAAACAAGTTAGTTTAACGAGCCAAGTATCACATTAAATAAGCTTTCTATTTTTGTATTTTTTGCATGCTTCAAACAAATGTCATTTATTGCTTTTATAAATGACATTGACTTTAAATTGGTTGTATAGTAATGTTTTTAAAGAAATGAAAATGGCTGTTTTAAATTCTGATGCAGGACCAGAGGTTTCCCCGAAGTTGACACACATGCCACAAGTTAGAATGGCAAGTTCACTTACACTCAGTCTGATGAAGTTGGTGCATTTTTTAGCATTTCTAAAGGATGTGGTGGGTTTTTTATCCTGGAAAAAAATTAAAGATAAACACTTTGTTGCAACAGCACCATCTGGTGACCCTTCATGAAAAAGAAAGGCCAGCACAACCCTACTGAATGGCCATACTAAAATACGGGATAGTCAAATCCATCTCAGCAGGGGTTGTGTATTTTTAATTAAAGCTAACATGTGACTAGACTGCACCTGCTGCTTGTGCTGCAGTGATTTTCCAGCATGCCTTGCAACCAACCGGCTTGCATGCTGAGTTCAATGAGCATAAGAGCTCCAGCTTTTAAGCCCTCAAAGCTATCGTAAAGACAAATATTTGGTTTGTTAGGGGATTCATGCATTCAAGTCAAAAGGAATAATTAAAGAGGGATGTTCAGGCAAGCAATACAAATATTATAAATCCCATAAAAACCCCTGGAACATCCACATGGTTCCATCTCAATGGAATAAAGATACAATAAAGGTGGTAGATTTTTGAATTTTGATTAGATGTTATAGGATCATACAGATTGTAAAACAGTGAGAAAGTGCTAAGTTCATATTTGTAGAAGTAATTTTGTCCCTAAAACTGTTATATTTGGTTATTAGATTTGAGATGTCCAGGTTTAGCACTGGTTTGCTTTGGTGGAAAGCTTAAACTTAGTGATCTAGTGGCTGCTCGGCTGAGATCTGCTGAGTAAATGCCCAAAGTGGAAATAGTATAAAACCTTGGCAAAACAAAACAGCCTGTAATTATATATACATCTGTCTTGACCTCATTTAAGTCTTTGCGCTGACATTTCTGAACTTGAATATTTCCCTAACCAAAGTGTCCTAAAAACAGGCAACAAGAGGTTTTGGACCAAAGATAGTGAAATAAAAAGATGCCTTACTTGAAAAATACAGAACAGATTTCATGGAATCACTGTTTCCTGTTCTAGTAGACACCCTTCATCAGTACTTGGTGCAACAATCCAATGTTTGTTATAAATAGATCCACTGCTCTGCACAATCAGCCTTTTAGACAGATTTATTTTCCTACTCTTGGCTCTGTATGATACCAATGAGTAGTGAAGTCCTTAATATATCTCAAGCACACAGTTTTGACTGTGAGCACTGAAGCCAGATTCAAATGTTCTGTTTGTGAGGGGCAGCCAATCAGAAAAAGAGTTGGCTCAAGGAGAGGGCTGGGTTATAAATGAGTGGAAAGGTTTGTTTTCGATGAAGTGAGAAGCTGTATTTTGGAATGTGAATCATGCAAAGCTATTGTAGAAAAATCCAACAACAAAAATATGGAACTGGAAATGAGCATTAGTTGTGTGCAAATTTTGGTATTGAGCCGACACCAAGTACATACAGCGCCAGTGTTGTTGATACCAATACTGATACTTTTAACCTATGAATGCAGCTTATGTAGGGAAGAGCAGATTATGATTTATGAGACAAATCATCATCAATTTGCACATTCTTAACATATTTTAATGACCACTAAATTACTGTGTCTTTGTCTTTCTACAATAATTAGCTAATTTATAAAAATAAATATAGGTTTTGTTTTTAAACTGGTTTTTTTTGGAGACCTAGAATGTAAATGTGCCTGTCTCTGAAGCACTTCTGTTGTTTAAATGTGCCGTAGGCTATAAATAAAATAGACGTGACAGTCAACACAAGTTCCGAAAATTTTCATAGTAGGCTACAGCACATGCCACATGATGTGACATTGCACGGCTAGCATAAAAACACCTTTAGAGAATAGAAACAAAGTATCGATTCTATCGATCCAATACCAATCTGATACTAATACCATCAGTGCCGGATCTAGAAAATCATACATGGGGGAGGAGAAGGAGAGGGGCAAGAGGTCTAGACAGGGTGGCATATACATCTTTAGTGAAGTATGTGTAAAAATCACCTATATGTAAATGGAGCCAACAAAA